ATGGATGTCATTGTTGAAATAAGTGATCCATAAAAAGGAAATGATTTTGCCCCCATGAAATATTAGATTGCAAATCCCTTACTTACAGATGATCCCATTTAAATAAGTGGTGTTGATCACCAGTGTGTATCTTTTCTGCAGCTGTAAATACAGAGTTCTGCCTTCCCTAGATTGAAACAAACCTGGGTGTAATTTCCCATGAGAATATCTGGTCATTGAGAAATTACGGGTGTAAACCAAGCCAAGCGGCTTGGAGGCATTTATAACAATATGATTTTGGGAAAGTACACAGTTCCACATAGATTTTCATTCTGTATAAGAGTCTAAAAATTTTCTGCATTACTCTGTGTATTAAGCAATATAATATCCTTTTGACCATTAAATCTTTATTCTGTCTATTCAATAATACCAGTCTTTCAAACAGCTGGTATTATGTTAGCACTGCTTTCTGGAAAGTTGTTTCTCTTACAAATCATTTTCATATACTGTAGAAATGAATAATTAAATGGTTATACCCTGTTCACTTGCGCCTTGTTTAATCAGCTATATCTGTACAATGTGAATGCAAAATAGATGTTAAGTGCTGCCAAATCAGAGTATTTTCCCAAATGTATTTCCATTTTGTCCATTTTATGGATGGTATTTAATAACAAATTGTGATCACTACTTTTATTTTTCTTAACCTCTTTTCCATGTGAGTTCTTACCTGATTGCTGAAAACACAGATTCCTCCCTAGAGTTTCTTGTTTTATAGTGCTTATTTTGGTCTTGCCTGGGGCATTTGTAAGTTCATCTTTTGACATTCTGGAGCTTTCAGAATACTCACTTGATGAAAGCTAATAATATATATAACTTCAGATGTTTGCAAGAGAAGATATTTAGGGTAGCATTATTTTTAAGATTGTAATTAATGGGCTAATATATCATCCCTGCATCAAGAAGGAGGTTTTGCTACAAGAGAATCTGTCAGAATTGAACGTGTTACAAGCCACTGAGGCACTCAAGTGTCTAGACTCGTGATATTTATAGGATCTTATATTGCTGTGATCTACGGTCTGTAACAATAGAAATGAATTAATTTTATTTATTTATTTAAAGTTTTAAGAAATCTTGTGTTAAAAAGCAGGGAGCTCTGTAACAGTTTATTATAGGACTAATATTCTGTAAGGATTAAGTTGGTCTTGCAGTCCACAAGGCGTAGGAGACATTTCTAAAACACAGAAAGAGCAAAATTCACTGTCTAGGAGATTTTCATGCTGTGCATATCTATAACGAAAAATGTCAAAGCAGTTTCTTAAAATGTTTCTCTGTATTTCACTATGTGAATCTGTGTTGATGTGTTGCAAAAACATATAATGATGCTCAGTTATTTCTGGGCTATATGTCAAAATGTTGTGCATTGAAAATGTCTGGTTCATAAACACGTCCTAGCTAAGACTTCACTGACTTTTATAATATGGTTTCTTCTTCAGTTGTATGGATCCAGAAATATGTGTGTTAGGCCTTTCACAGTGAAATCTCTCCACTTAAAATCATAGGATAATTCCATTTGAAAGGAACCTCAGAGTTTCATCTAGTTCAACATCCTGCTTAAAGTGTGGTCAGCTGTGAAATCAGACCAGGCTGTGAAAGATTTTATCCAGTTGGTCTGGAAAGCCTCCAAGTAAGGAGACTGCACAACCAGTCTTGGCAATCTGTGGCACTTCTGGCAGTCCTGGTGAAAAAAGTTTTTTTCCCTACATCCAGTCATACCCTCTCTTCTTTCAGTGTGTATCCCCATTACCTCTTCCTTTCTTTCCATGGAATGCTGTGAGGTCTTGATGTCATCCAAGTTGTAATAATCTTCTCATCGTTTGTGGAAGGGGCTGCTGTTAGGTTTCCCAGAAGATGTCTCTTCTCTGGACTGAACAAGTCCTATCACAAGGCAGGTGGCCCTGAGCATTTCATTGGCCTTCCAGTAAATATTCTCCCATTAGTCAATGTCTTCCTTATACTGGGTGATGTGGATGCATTGTAAGTGGTATTATGTGTATCATGACACAATCTTCTAGGTACAAATCCCATCACAGTATTTAGGCTTACATTTTATTTGGAAAACAAACAATGTTCATAATTTAATTCAATTTGTGTAATTTATGGTATATAAAGTTTTTTCATGAGATTTGCATTACCTGTTGTAGTATTATGCATTGTATGTATCTTCATCTCATCTGGTTTACCTCATCCTGGAGGAAATATCTGACAGTGACAAGATTAAATTCAACTTTTAAAGAACCTGTTTTTACCACTAACTGTAATGGAGCTTGCTGGTATAGACGGCTACCTTGTAGAGTCTGGGTTTAGGTAGCCTCAGTCTTCACCTTTGGCCATTGTTGATTTGCATGTAGACCCTACTGACATGAAGGCAGAAGGAGATTCCAACCTAAACTACACCTTAATGCATTGATGGTGAATTGTATGTATTTGCACATGATAGAAATGAATGGGGATCTTGATTCAGAATTAATTAAAAAAAAAAAAAAAAAAAAAAAGTAAAGAAAGAAAGGAAAGGATGTTAGTGATCGAGATACGGCGAAACACAGGTTGGGCTTGTGCTATATATATACGCTCTGTAAACCTCAGTACAAATTTGTTAAATGATTAATAAAATACCCCAACCACAGCTAAAATACCTAATCTTTTAAAGGCCAGTAGTATTAATTATGGAAGATGTGTTTGTGCGTCGCAACATTGCAAGGGTGAGTTAATTATTTTTATGAAGTTTAGCTTTGAAAGTTCAGATGCATTTTTGACTATTCATTTAGGTATGTGCTGTCAAATCCAGCTTACTAGTTGTTCACATTACTATTTTGAAAACATTTCTATAAAAGCTGTTGCTTCATCTTCTGTAATCTTTACTTTTTATTTTTTTAAAGCTTTCTTCGTACTACTTTAATAAAAATATCAAATCCTCTGTACAGAGGTCCTCCAAAAGATCTTCTTCAGAACCAACATTACCTTTCTTTGAAAGTTACCGTTTTCTACTTCCCAAAAGTATACTATTTTTTTTTTTTACTAGAATATAATAGTCTATGCAAAATGTTAAATTTCCTTTTACTGCGTAACAGTGATTTGATGTGACATTTCTTCATTGTATTATCATCAAGCTCTGAAAACTTATTAAATCATGTTCCAAGTGATCAATGCATTTATCCTTTGTGAACTAAAGTGCTCATCATTCATGGCAAACCTCCTTTCTTCTGGCAGAATGGAAGACAGTTCTAATGCATCTTGTCATGTCCTCATTTTTTTATTTCTTGCACCATGATCTTTACTTTTCCAGAAGAAATTGGATAAGGGGGCATTAGGCAACAGCCAGATGCTTTTTTTTTTTTTTTGTCAGAAACACAAATAACCACATTTTTTTTTATTTTTTATTTTTTTCTTCAACACAGGACAGTCAACTACAGCCATCCCACCTGTTCAGAGAGTTTCTTCAGTACAACACCCTCATTTTACAAATTACGTAAAACTGACTTCTTAGTGGAAGTCCAAAATAATAGAAAAACATTTTCTGGAATTCATAATGTGGGATGGAGTAAACAGTCAGATGTTGGACTTGGTCCACATTGTAAATAGTTCAAACCAACTACATATGTCAGCTGCTGCCACTTAGAGAAGTTCAGCTGGTTGCTAATGCCAAAATCTACTGTCTGATTTACCCACAGACAGGAATTCAGAGTAGATGACCAGGGAAACAAGCAATGTTTTGATTCCTGACATCAAATGTTAGCCTTATCCTTTTGGCTTTAGAGAAGTAACTTCATAAAATATGTGGTGTAATAGCTGGACCAAACCAGGCAATGCCCAAAACACTTGGGCATAGCTTTATGACAGTTTACTTGTTATAAATTATACAAATTATATTCCCTAGGGTTTTGTTTTTCTTTGTTCATTTGTTGCTTTTTTGTTTGTTTGTTTGTTTTAGAATAACCATAAAGCTGCACTTTCCTTTGTTCATTATTCACGATTTCCCTAACTCTAGGGAGATGTGAGCATCTCCCTGTCCATTGTAGGAAAACAGGAAGATCCATTGTGCTGTGAAGAGCAAACAAAAGAGTATAATGAAAAATACAAGAAAATACTAGACAGGAGAGCTGTGTCTTAATTATAGAATAAAGTTTTAATTTCAAAACAGATTTGATCTAGAAGGATGTATGTTAGGAATTGTCTGAGTAGGCAACTTACCTAGAGAATAATCATGGAATAACCGAATGATTTGGATTGGAAGGAACCTTAAAGATGATCTCGTTCCAAACCCCCTGCCATGCACAGTAGTGAGTTTGTTTTGTTGTGTTTGCAGTCCTAAGGTTTCAAAGTTTTTTTTTTTTATTTATTTACTTTTTAATTATTTTTTTTCACAAATCGCAGTGAAAATAAAACCTTTTCCAGTGTTGGTATAAAATACAGATGTGTTGGAATTTCTATTTTTTATTTGAAACAGTCATCTATCTTTCCAATCTTGAGAGTACGTTGTATGAAAGATGAAGGGGAGAAAAAGGTCACAGTTGCATTTAAAATATTTCATAATACTATATGTTGCCACAGAACTCATTTTAAAATATATATTTTTAATATATTATCCTTCCTACATTCCTTCCTTCATTCCTCTCAAGCTTTATTCTCCTGCCATTAGTGCTGATATATTGAATATAAAGTGTATCTTTTCTTCATTTCAAGGAAGAGGTTATGCCTTAGAAATAGTAATTCCTTTTTCGATTCCAACTAGCTAATGAAGTTCTATGTTAACTTTATTGCTATACCTTTGGAGTTCTTATTAAAAATATAAATATATATAAATATATATATATATTAGCATAGTAATAAGAAACCTGATTCATTTTTAATTTTGAATTTGCCGTTTTTCATTCAGTCTCATGACGCTCTGATATATATCGTTGCACTTCTTTCCTATGAATTATGTTTTGTTTTCTTTTTTTTTTCTAATTATCATGATTTTCCTTAATATTCTTTCAAAATTATACAATGCAGCTGAGAAAATCAGTTAGACCAATATTTAGTGGTCAGAAGACAGGAAACCTAAAATGATGGATACTGTAATTCTGTAAAAAAGTCATGAGGCAATGAGGTAATCATTCAAAAAATGTGTTGTGTGGACACCAATTGGATTATATTTTATGAGACAGAAAAAGCCTGTTGGTGGAATTTATTATCAGGATGTGAATTAATAGGGTCAGTATAGATAAAATCAAATATTTTCAAAAGGGACAGCGATTAAAGCTTCTGGTTTTGGGTATCTAAAATGAAAAAATAAACATCATGACCTTTTTATCAGAAATTTGTAGCTGTCTTAACAGTTTTAAAATTTTGATCTAAAACTGAAAAATCTCAGTCACTGAAATCAATGAAAAAATGAAATGAAAATGAAATGAAAATGAAAAAATGAAAAATGCCATGGCTGATCAAATGTGCTTTAAAGAAACTAGCTTTGAATATTTTTGTAAACCTGTTGGATATTAACAAAGAGCACCATGAACAGCTTAACTTAAAAGTGTGGCTTTAAAATTAAGTAATAACCAAAACAGAGTTGAGTTTTTTATAAAAAAAAAAAAAAAAAAAAAAAGAATATTGACATCAGGCTGTACTGTATTGATAGCATTGTTTGCTGTATCATCAGCTGCTGTAACAACAGAATGGCAAATAATTTCCATGTAATGACATATGTAAATTCTCTCTGTGAACAAAACAAACTTACAATTTGCCCAGAATTCGAAGGAAATGCATAAGGGTCTTTTTATGGGGGATGGATAAGAACAGTTGTGTTATTTGTAGTGTGGAAAGGAACAGACACTTTGTTTTATGGTGTTCATGGGTACCTTCTTCCATAAATGTACATACATGTTTTCAAAATATCGTAGAACATTTGTGGGTGAGCTCAGCTGCATAATGAAGGTGTGAGAGAGCCCCTGTGTTCCTTTTGCTGTCAGGGAAGTGGTCAGCACACTTGGTACCCACTTCAACACACAATGTCTTCCTCAAGTAGACACCTGTATTTGGTGGGATGGATAGGGCTAAATTTTGTTGACTGCATTGACTAAGGGCTTGATTCAGTTGCCTGAACAGTGACATCTGATACTATCTGAGATGCCTTTGGGCATTTTGCCTAGCTTCCAGGCTGATCCAGAGGCTTGCAGATTATATCTGCCACCATGCAGATGCCTCAGGGCATCTCTGGTGGCACTGGTTTCATACTACTGGTCCTCTGTTGACATCTGTGTTAGGACACTGCAGTGAGTCCTAGGTCTCTGTTTGTTGTAATAGAAATTTAAATGGCTGACTGGGATGTAGATACCTGCCTTGTATCCATCTGCACTTAGATAAGAAAATGCCACTTTCTGTAATTCTTTGTATGTAGGAGGCTGGTTCGCTCAGCAACAAAGCAATGTACACACAAAACAGAGTCATTGCTTGTTTCTGCTAGCTGAATTCCTGAAAAGAAAGGATCAGAATATATCCCACTGTAGAAAAGAGTGTATTTTCTGTAAATTTGAAGAAAACTAACAACTCCTGAACTGCTAGTATACTTGGCTTTTTGTTTATAAATATGAATGTTCTTAGCCTTGTTTTGAAATTTAAGTGAGGTGTAATGGCTGTAGGAAAAAAATATTCACATACTAGCAGAAGTGAACAATATCAGTGATGCAGTAGTATTTCATCATTTTGGGGCTGTTTGTTGAATGCTGGAGGCAAAAGATAATTCCTACATTAATTATCTAGTTAGGTTGGCAATATTCAGTGTTTGGGAAAAGGTGGTCACTAAACAAGTGCTAAACTAAACAGAAGAGGTTTCTCTGCCACCAGCATCTTGGAGAACCACACCAGTGGTGTGCAGATTGCAGATCCTGTAGGTGCAGTGTAGTCCATCATGCCGGCCCTGCCACACAGAGTGCCTGTGAGGATTAGAGAGTGGGATTTATTTATTTTTTTTAACAGAAATTTAATGATCTTAGTTTGGATGCATAATGAACAGAGTTCATCATACAAAGAAAAATACTTCCCTTTTAGTGATGGATTTAGTATCCATCACTATATCACCATATATATATAAAATCTTATCACCATATGATGCCAGGGCATCCAGCCCCTCTGTTCAGAGGATGGACCCATAAACAAAAGTGAATATTTAGGCATGTTCAGTCTGGAGGGCTTGTTTGGTCTCAGCATGCTGAAACATACGAGGGTAGACAGCCTGTGGGGAGACAGCTCTGCTGTGGCCATGCGGTAGAGTGCAGCCCTCGTTCCTGGGGCCTGAGAACACCCTGAGTACAGTGTGTCCCCATGAAGAATCAACTAAACATGTTCTGGAATATAAATAACTATTCCATATACATAAAATACTAAGAGTGGAGTATGGGATAAATCCCATAATTAGTGATTAAAAGGCGAAGTCTTTTTTTTTTTTTCCAAAAAGTGGAATTTAAATTTATCCTTCCAATGCAACAGAAGAAAATAAATAAATAAATAAATAAAATAAATAGTGTACAGTTCTTAAATAGCCGTGGTTTCCATGTTTAATTTTTCACTGCCCAAATCCAAGGTAACGTCTGGATTTTCCTAATTGCCCATTTAAGTGTAAAGCTTTCTACTGTTGAACTCCATGAATATAAATCAACAGGAACAAGAACTGCTGGCAGCAAGGTCCAGCTGCTGTGGTTGTATTTCAGAGGGGTGGCAGAGTTCTCTTCCCCACCCATATTCTGAAGCCACAGCTTTAGGCAGTAGATTAAAACCTTGATTGGATTTTTACTGGGAAATTGCAAGGAATGTTAGAGAAATTTGAGAACTAGGATCTTCATTGGTGTTTTGAGCATCTTCTGAAGTTCACTCTGGCATTCACAACCTGTTCACAAGTTAGTGTCAGTCTCTGTTGCTTATTTGTGATTCACAAACATCTGAAACTATGTATGTATCCAGAGAATATATGGTCTCCAGATTTTGAGCATTTTATTCAAACTCCACAATGATTTAAATAATAAACCACTTTACAGCAATCATCACATCCTGAAATAACAATTCTTGCTAAATTAAGCAGAGAAAAGTGGCAACAGCTGACAAGTGTCTCATTTAGGAAGACTGGAGTTTTGTTGATCCTTCAGCACTGCTTTGCTGTTTGCTAGCCATTCTTCAAAGTGCAGTTAATATTTTCAAGATGTGAATGTAGTCAGTTATTTCTTTCTGTCATGTTAAGTGGAAAAATGTCTATAGGAAGCTTTTCTGTTAAAAATGAAGCAGCTAGATTGATACTTAATTGTTCTAGGAACTCTAGATACAATCATACGGATATGATCAAATAAAAATCAAACAATATTAATGTTTACCTGAGGTCCTCTGCAATTTCTAATGTTAAAATATCAAGGCCCACTGGAGCAAACTCATTTTATAAGTTCCAGTTAGTTTTCCAAAAATTAGCAAAATTCTAAACCAGTTATCTTTGTCATTTAAAAGCAACACAACTTATTTTTTTCTAATTATCACTAATAAAGCAGTGGATCATTTCAATATTATTTTTCATTGAATAAAACCATTTTTATGAGACTAGATGGTAGTTGTAGATATCTACAGAGAAATCTATGTTCCTACACTTACAGAATTCGGATAAAATGAAAATTAGAGAATTTTGTGCATCAATGCTATAAGAATTGCTATAAGAATTGCTGCATTTTAAAATAATGCGGGTGACAAAAGGAATGATGGTGCCAGACTTTCGTGATTAATTTTGTATGCTATTAATATAATACTATTTGCATTACCTAGTATTTGCCACATTGTAGAAAAATCTTCGTAAGCCATTTATAACCCTCTTAAAGGTGTAAGTCTCTATAAAGACAGAAATCAGTTAATGCATCTTCATATGTTATAGAAGATACTCTTCACTGTTCCATCAGTGATTTCAACGGAAGAAAGACAATACTATACCAGGTACATTTTGAAATTAAAAAAAATAATAATTTGGAGAAGATTGTTACAAAGATACAAAACTGGACTTTCAACACAAAACAGATGATCAAGTTCCTCTTGCAATCTTTTGTCAAGCTCAAAATACGAACTAAGGAAATAATTTTCAGCATGGGCATGGCTATAATTAAAACTGTCTGCCCATATTTTCTGCCACATCTGCCCAGTAGTGGGAAGAAAGGAACATCTGATAGAGCATTTTGTCCTTTCTGCAAAAATACATTATTTGTTTCCTTAATGCAGACAGAGCTTCCCTGCTAGACTCCCTGCTGTCTTCTTCAAATTTCTGTCATTTACAAATCATGAAGGGAAGCAAACACAGCATAGATAGATCTTGTATCCAGAACTGGTAGGCAGCTACAGTTATCAAACAGAGATTATCAGCTAAGTAGAAAAAGGAAAAGGTAAAGGAAGGGGAAAATGTCAGAACATTTGCTACCATAGCTCAGAAAACATGTTTATTTCTGTTACTGGTAAAAGGCCAAAGGCTTTGAGCTGACCTGACAGAGTATGGTGTCAGGATGTGTCTGAGTTTGTCTTGGCACAGTTTCAGCTTGTTTCAGCAATCCCCAAGTGGCCAAGTGACTGTAGTGTCACTGTATATGAGCTGAAGCTGTGAACCCCACGAACAGCAAAGGTCTGGCAGAGATGGAGAGTCACTGCCTTTGGAGCAGCACTCAGTGGTGCCAGCTGGGGCAGGCAGCTGACTGAATTTAGCAGGGAAGCAGCGAGAAGGAGACAGCATATGCTAAGAAAAAACAAATATAGTTCCAAATATAGCACAGGATAGAAAAGGAAGAAACTCCCACCTCTGTGAACATCATACTCCCAGCAGTGTTCTCAGGTTGCTCACAACTTGTAATTTCTTCTTTCACCTTGTTGTAGTTCCCCCTTTTCCTAGTGGAGGAAGATAGTAACTGTCAGCCCTAGGAATAAGAGAAGAAGGAATATGGGAAGAGTGAGTGCAATGTAAAATAAAAATGTTAGATCCTAGGAAAATTTGGTATAACTAATATTAATGGGTTTTATTGTATTAATTACTTATCAATAAATATTTTGGACTATTCAAACATTAATTATTGGTAAATTGTCATTAGTAATTATCATTAGTAATTATCAGTAAATTATCACTAATTATCAGTAAATTTTTATCTTTCCCTCTTTATGGTGTATTCTATTTTGCTCATTATGAGGTTTTGAATATAATACTATGTTCCTTGCTGATGACTTTTCAATAAAGGGCAAGACACAGTAATGTGATAAACAGTCACAGAGCAATCTGGGAGAAGCCCAGGAAATCACTAAAAAAGTCAATCTGAAATGCCTTGAGAAACCAGAGGTTTTTCCTCCTCTTGTGTGCCTGTGTCTGGGATATTCTGCTGGATTTGGGAGACAGTAGGCTCAGGAGGTTCTAGAACCAGTTTTTGAATCCTTTGCTAAATGTTGTGATCCCTTTGATGTGTAAAATACCACTATGGCTACCACTGTTTACTCCTCTGAGAGGAAAATAGTTATCCACCTAAGCCTCAATCACCCTGGCACTTCAGGTGGAACAGAACCATCTGCTGCCCAAGGACAAGCTCTTTGAACATTTCACATGACTGAAGGTAACCAGAGGGAACTTTCAGGCAACCAGTTAAAATGCCATGACAGTCTAAGCACCAACAGAGATGTACAGGGAGGGAAGCACAACTTGAGTTACAGTTTTAATTTCTCCCCACCCTGTTGTGTCACCACCTTTTTCGTGAGATAGATTGCCCACAGTTGATGCTGTGGACTAGGGATTGTGCTGTGAAAGCCAGTGAAACCAGTCTGTATTGCTGGAGGCTGCGATTATGTAGTTCTTGGTCCTCCTATTCTCATATGCCTCTCTGGAATAAGGAAAAGCTGTGATTGCTAGATGACTGACAGAAGTTTGGTGATGCACATCAGAAAGGATACCTAAAATCTTAAAATTGTAATAATGTTAAAAACAAGAGAATCCTCCTGTTGCTGTTGCAGTGTCTATGATGTGCAGCAATGGAAACAAAATACTCCTAAGAGAAAGCCATAAATAGTCAGTGCACTAAAAGATGGAAAAATACTCAACATAGGTCTTTCAGGAACTGTGAAATGCTTACAGAATCCCCATGACAATGTTAGAATAACACTGTAAGTCTCTAACATAGTAAAATCTTCAGAGCAGTTCAAGTTAATTGACTTGACTATGGGAAATTTTCTAAACTAAAAAGGCCTCTTCTTAAGCAGGACTCTGAATGAGGATATGTTTTCTAGTTGTCACAAGGTTGTGACTAAGCCAGTTTACCAGATCAGACTGTCACCTTGACAAGTGAGGCAAGTAGTGTAGTCCTGTAGTGTCACCCAGCATCAGTGGGCACTTCATGGCATGATTACAGCCCAGTAAGGGGCAATGCACTGAAACCCCAGAATAAGCCAGCACCGCAAGGTGAAATGCAGCAGTATTACTGCAAATCTGCAAATAGTATGGTGAAATATCTGACTGGTCCCAGTTCCAGGCATAATTCACATAAAGGTCATTCAGATATCAGTTTGAAAATTGCTTTATAAGTCAGCTGGTGTTTCTTTGTTTTCATAACACAGATACGACCTTAGCCACAAACCTTGCTGTTGTAGCTATCTAGAAAGTCTTGCCCTTTGGCAAGAGATGGAAGTAAGTATATTCATAGTGTAAGAAGTGTTTTGTTGTTTCATAGATACTGTGGCTTGGCTTTAAGTGTTTTGCTGGCAGCAGAACTGTGCTGTTGCCAAATAGAGTCTGTATGAAGAGCAGGACTATTGATTGAGAATGGTCTGTCAAACTTCAATCTGCAAACAATGAAATGAGCTCACATTCACCTGGAAAAATGAAGGCAGGGAGTATTGAAAGGCACTGGCATTATTGATGAAAACAGTGACTTTTTAGGTGTAAATGTTCTGCTTTATTTAGATGTTAAGGAAAAGGAAGCCATTAAGTCAACTGTAGTAAGACTTCTTAGAGTTACAGTTTTCTTTAACATTTCTCATTTCTTTCTGAAGTGTTGAAACATTGGTACATTAAAAGCATTACATTGATTTGTGCATGCAGCCGAACTTTAATTGGGAGGAAATATTAGATAGCCACAGTCTTTACACAAGCTGTCAGCTGTATATTACAACCTTTTATGATATGGTGTTTACACACTCTTAAACCCTAATGACATAAATGGATTTACATTCTGCAGCTCTCTTCCTTCCGTACTTAAGGCTTTCCAGATGTTGTAATGGGCAGATTTCAAGGACTGCATCAGAAACACCCACAGTCCTTTATTCTCTTACTGCTGCTGTATGTCTCGTGTGTATATATGCATGTCCTTATCACAGATTTAGTAATAAAGAAATAAATCTTGCTGAAACCGAAATTTTTGAAAAAAAAAATAAAATTCTGGTTGGGACTCATCCAAGAGGAAATAAGGAACTGTGAGGAAAAGAAACAAGGGGTTATATTTGTGATGAAAGGTGAAGAGGACATTCAGTACTTGTTATCTAGCTTGACAGTGCAGGACATTGATGGGTGCTGTGTGATGTGCCCCATTTGAATGAATCATGGATGTTACAAGATTCAGGGTAGTGTTTCTCAGATATATGCTCTCTCACATACCCCTGCACCGTCACATACATTATATGTCTCTTGAGTTTTTGAAGCACCTATCTATTTAAAACTACTTGATTCTGCGCATCTAGTGTAGGAAGAGTCAGAGGATCCAAAATAAGCTCCTTCTCTGTGTCACCCTGTAGAGTCACTGATACCTTTTCTTTTACGAGGAGGTGGGAAGACTAACTTTATAGCTGTCAAAATGAGGCTAATAATATGTATTGCCTCGGAGGGGTGGGGAGGGGGGGAAGCTGATTTGGGGAAAGTCAATAGTCCTTCACTTCAAAATGAAGAATCAGGAGAGCAAGAAAATAAATTGCTTTATGCAGATCTAGGAGTGTCTGTCAACCCATCCTAGAGACATTTTTCAAACTCCTTTCTCCACCAGACAGAATCACAGGGTAACAGAGTAAGAAGCTCAGACCTGTGGGTGAAGTGTAGATCATGGTAGCAGCATCGGGTGCATAAGTGCTTCTCAGTGTTTTAATGAAGTTTTTCTTGAATCAAGATCACCAACTCTCTATGCCATGAATTTAGTTCAGGATTTTCACTTGGGTGAAACTTCAGAGTTGTAGGTTATATGTTCACCATCTTTTATGAATAATGTCTACAGTAGTGTAAATTGGTAATAGTTGGACATGCTGTCACTATATCTGTGGTTGTATTTTAGTTTTACACCTGTGGTTTAGTCTGGCCATGAAGCAAATTTGGTTAGGTGACAGTAAGAATGACACTGTATCCTGTCCTGACAGATGCTTTACAAACATCTGCAGACCTTAGTGCGGGAGACAAGAACACTGTAGCATTATGTTTTCTACTGAATAGGTGGACAAATGAGGTTAGTGTTCCCACCAGGCACTGGAACCTTTCATGACAGAGACCCAGCAACATTTTAGGGCACTGTTCACTGGAGACAAAAGTCTCTGTGATATTCAGCAGGTTTTTACTTAGCTCAGGGTGCTGTCTGAGCAGCACAGCACTATAAAGTCCTGTGGTGCAGAGGATGCCCATATTTGCATGGACATGACCTGCTTTCCTTTGATTTGTCTTTCTCTCCATCCTGTTTGATTCTGCAAGCATGAGGATTTTTTTTATTTTATTTTTTTATTTTTTTTAACAAGATGCACAAACATCTGTTTAGCTATGCAGCTTTTTTCCTCTTAGTTAGCATCTTTGAGATTCTGTAATTACGCTTCTGGGTAAAATAAGCTGTCGTGATAACTTATGCCTGGAATGCCTGATTTAAAGTAGTGGGACCTGTTCTGTTTGCATTTACACACCGAGCAGAGGTAGTGCCTGATAGAAGATGGTAAATTAGGTCAAATTTGGTCTTCCTCTGAGAACAGTTGAAGTTGAGCAACTCAGCATAAAACTGACCAATTTCTAGAAGCGCATAAAAGAAGGTTTCTGCATGTGATATAACATGGAGACTTCCATTTTCGTTTCTTCTGGTGGATTTATGCTTTCTTTTAAGGTCACGAGTCTGTCGTTCAGGTTGTGCTGCTGACCTTTAAACTGTTACATTAGCAGTAGGCAGGAATACAGGACTGGCAGATGTTGCAGTGCTGATATGAATTACTCAATTATAGTAGCCTGGCAATGAGATTGGTGATCCTGTGAGCACTTTAAAGAGCACAACCAAGTAGATTAATCTAGTGAAATAGATTCCACAGAAACACGATTGCTGAGAGAGAGAAGGTTAATCTAGTAAAGAATGCTTTGTAGTGTCTTTATGGTTTTCTGTGTGAGCTTGTTTGGAAAAGATCATTTGCTATAATTAGGCTCCTAAGAAAGGGATATTTTTAACTTTAACTTGAGTTATGGAAAATTCTTCAATTTTGCTTCAGAGATGTCATGCTTATTATTTTCCCTCCAGTTCTAACGTGAAATTCTCAGGCATCCCATCCCCACATAAGCTGACTGTGTGCAGGATCAGATTGATTTCACTGGGAGCTCAGAAAATAGAGATCTCACAGGATGAGCCTTTAACTCATGAGTATGAGATTCACTAAATAACTCTAAACTGTACCTAAAACCTAAGCCCAAGCCACTCAGCTTCACACCACTTCACAATGGATTTTGCAACATGGTCACTTTTTGCCTTTTTGATTATGGTGACCCAGATTACTAGAATTAGCCTTTAGTTAGCTAAGCAGTTTTCATGTCAGCCTTTTAAAATTTGAGCTGCATTCAAATTTTGCTGTTAACACCTCTATAGAAACTAATTTCTTACTCTTTTGAGTTTCAGAAGTAAAGCTGAATGCTCTTAAATGTTTTTATATGACTTGCTGAGAAATAAAGGTTAGAAATGCTAGAACTTCCCTACCCCCACAACCTGTTTTTTCCCTTAGCTTTATGCTGCAAATACCTCAGTCTTGATCTGTTTGAAAGGAAAAAGAGCTTTCCCTCTTGGGACAGA